TAATGCCTGGTGGAAGAGGCTGTCTATCAGCTTAAGCTGAGGAGTTGATCCATGCTAAAGCATTGGACCGGATTTTGGCAGAAATTCTGCAGAATCCAAGACGGTGGATGTCGTCTCTGTGACAAACATAGGTAGTTCATGGTCAGAAACAGAGGGAAATCAACGTGGGAATTTACTGTCTAACGGCGTTTCAGTATAAAGACTTAAACAGCAGTGTGTAACTTTCCGGCGACTGCTTTCATAACCAAACCGCTTTATGGTTAATATACTGTAATTACTAGTCAGTTCGGTTTATACCTAATCCACAGCCTCGTATCTGGGCGGCTGATTGCAGGCGATGGCGCGCAATAATTCTTTCTAGGTGCTTCGTCAGGTTGTCACCTTGTTCTGATATTATCTTTCAAAAAATGAGGCACAGGTAGACCTTTCAAGATTCCGTAAAGAAAATAAGGAGTTCGAAACCTGTTCAAACTCGGTCCATAAAAATCGTCTTGGTAGACCAAAATTTTTAAGTCTGTAGGGGGTTAGATGAAGTTTCTAAATATTTCTTACTTCATTACGTCTTTGCACTTTTTCGGTGAGATCACCGCAAGAACGACAAGTTTTTACAGCCATTTAATTTTCAAAACTGAGGACGTTACTCTACAGAGCACATGTCGTGCACAACCCCTTGTCCGGAAACTTTTGAGGGACGGTCAAGGCTGACTCGACAATACATTTATCATAGTTGAGCATTTGCTGCATTTTATTGGCCACAGTAAATGTCTGATCATCATCAATGATTTTTTGAAGAACAGATTATAATTAACGCTTTAGGGCAATATGGCGGGTTATGTTCTTATTAACATACTCTTGGTGTATGAACCTGTATCTATGGTTGCCTTCAAATGCTTAGAAGAAGTACTGACTCCTGAAACGCCGTTGTGATAAGCGGAGATTGCTCTCGTTAATAAAGTGATGCGATATGCACTTGGCACAGCAACTGCTGAAGTACTGTAATGTCCTTTGGCATCTAGGAGCAATAGGAAAAAGAAGCAGCATTACAACCTGGCGTAGCAAAGGCATAAGCTTTTTGAAATAGGTATGTAATTGTGTAATAATCCATCACAGTGGTCTGCTCAGTTCACAAACTTATTCCTCAGCGCCTCATAGGTTAGTAACCATATGGAGATGGCAATGCACCATATGATGACGCCTTCTGTTTCATTCGCAAAGAGCTGTACTCCAAATAATTGCACCAAGGTTTATACTTCGGCTTCCTATATCATGAAAATGGTGGACGGGCCCTTTTATGCTCTCGGTGTTACGGCCTAAAGGCTAATCCATTTGCTCGTTTGATCCTGTTACAAAAATTCTGATCAGTGGCACGAATTCGTTAAAGATTCGCGACCCTGAAGAATCATTCACTCACTCATTCACTCACTCACTCACTCACTCACTCACTCATTCATTCATTCATTCATTCGTTCATTCATTCATTCATTCATTCATTCATTCATTCATTTAATCTATGATTTCATCTTTGTCATTCTTCCCTTCCATCCTGTTTTATTTCCCTCCTCATTTATTTCCCCGTTCATCCATTCGTTCATTGAAAACCTCACCACTTACCTTTTCTCTACATGACAAAAACGTGTTTTAAACAACATATTAAACAAGTTTTTATATGGTCCTTTCGTTTTTGTCCAACCACTATTCGGCGTTAATCCGCAAATCTCATACCCCATGTTACTGATTCAAAGCAAACAAGTTTTTCCAACTCAATAAACTAAACGTTTGTATTCCAGGCTGAACTGGTGGTCGGTTGTGCTATCAAAGCGCATTTGAACAGATGCTGGATTCTGGGCCATTACGGTGTTCCGAAGCAGGGTGGTGCTGACGTCAACAAATATAGCAATACCGAAAAACAAATATCCGATACAATATCTGATCAGCAGACGGTGACGGCGGGAAAAGCCGAAGAAACAAAGGAGAGCTCCAAAACGTCGTACGAAACAGACAGCGCTTTGCAATTTCTTTAGAACAAAAATTGTTGTTTTGTTTACTGAACGTTATAGCTACATTGAAGTTAGATTTTGCGAATTACTAATGCCTTGGCTACCATTCGCGTTGCTACCTCGGCTTCTTCGGCTTCGTTCTGAGTTTGAGGCAACTCATGAGTCACTGTTATTAAAGTAGTTGTGGATGTTACTTTAAAATAAGTTGTGATACCTCAGGAAAGGTAAAGTAACATCGTTTTAGACTTCGATGATTAGCTGACGGTTTATTGCTTAGTTTATGCATTAGCTGTTGATAAAAAAAGCCAGCACTGCTTGTCATGCAAATACATTTGATTAAGTGTATTGTTGCAATGAAATATGATAAAACCCCGTAAATTCCTGCTAGTCACAGATCCTGCAAGATGCAGTACATGGTATGCCGGAAATGAAAGTACGCTGTTCATGATTATTTGTCAAAATTTCATTCGTTCGCTCATTTTGGTAGGCCTGTTTCACTTCTCAGAGAACATCTTGCATGTCACCGGTACGTTCATTCATTCACTCATTCGTTCACTCATTCGTTTTTTATTTCGCTTATTCGTTCCTCAATTGACTCGTTCATTCCCATCCGTCATTTAGTCATTCATTCCATCATTCGTCTGCTTTTTTATTAAGTCATTTATTAACTCAGTATCACCGATCCGCCTGGGCCTGCCTCGTCGTCCTTACTTTTGCTAAGAGTTTCTTCATTGGCGCCGTGCCATGTCACAGAACCACTACGGTAACGGTCTCTTGAGCTGGAGAAAAAAGAATTCGAAAACTCATGCATCTTTCACTGAGGCCTGATTAGTCTTGTAGAGAGTCGCTACAACGACGGTCTTTAGAAATAAACTTCACCTCCTTTTCTTGAATCGTGAAACTTGCACTATCACTCATTAGTCAGGACTGATTGTCCAGGGGAGAAGATCAGTACGCAGACGGGCTTAAAGAGAGATACTGTATCATTCGCTTTAGTGGTCAACTGTTTCCTCGACGTATGGCGCTTCTGCTCCCGCATTTTTAAGCTAAGCGGGCAATTTCGAGGCGTTGTTGTCATCTGTGGCCTGCCGTCTCCCATGAATGATGCTTCCTGACAGTCCCATCAGAAGTTCAGTAAAAACGCCACACTCGAAATAAACTGACGAATGTGTTTATAACTGGCAGGGGGTAGAGATAGGATGTTTAAGAAAGTACTGTTGCTACTTCTGAGCCATTAACGATTGGTAGAAGTCTGCTTCCAACTTAGGAAGTGCTTGGCTCACGCGCCAAAGGAAATTCTCTTAAACATTAATACCCTTA